TAGCTTTAGTTACTAAGGATTCCAGCAAACACCGGGACTGCAAAGTCCTACACAAAAATGGATCTCAGAGTGATTGAGAGTCCTACACAGTCACTTCTTCTTTCTCTCTAGACTTGTCTCTTCTGGTGTCTCTTCAGCCAATCATCTGTCTCCATTCAGTCCCCATGTCTTCTACATCCATTACCCTTACACCAACTAACTTCATGTCCTCTTTCACCTCATCCATGAATCTCCTGTTTGGTCTTCCTGTCAGCCTCCTGCCAGGTGGCTCCAACCTCAGCATCCTTCTATCTATGGAATAATTGTCTCTCCTCTAGACATGTCCAAACCATCTCAGTCCTTCCTCTCTGACTTTATCTGTAAACATCTAACATGAGCTGTTCCTCTGATGGACTCATTCCTCATCCTGTCCATCCAGGTTTGTCTCCTGTCGTCGTACGCCCTTTCCCACACAACCCTTTACATTTATCCGGACTTGGGCCTGGCACATGGAATGACTGACTTGTGACCTCTCGTCTACAATTCAAAACACATCTAGCCTAGAAATCTGCACCAACCATAGCGTTAGCAAAAGATTTAGCTCTGCAGATTTAGACTTGAACAGCACCAGGACGGATCAGAGCAACGGACAACGGGACATATTCACCGCTACAGCAATCAGTCAACAGGGAATTCCACCATACCCCATAAAACGTTGGTTACCAACCCCCCAAGGGGGTCTCCACAAGATTGCAGGGGGTCGCTATAATTTGTCTGTGCTGCTGTGGCGAGGTTACCACCATGATAACACACCCAACAGTAAGAACCATAACTCTGTTTGTCTGTATAAAGTTTGTGATTATTCACTTTTAATTGTGTGCATTTGCTTAGGAGGTGGGGTTGGGGGCCCTGGCTTCTCATAGACACAGGAAAAGGGATCCTCGTGAAAAAAGGTTTGGAACCACTGCTGTAGAAGAAGCAGAAGAAGAAGAAGAAGAAGAAGCAAATACATCCTTTATCGAATAAACTAAAGTACCTCTATCTGCTCATGTTTCAAAGAATAGCTCAAGTCTACAAAAGCTGATGCAAAAGCCGTCTCAAACGAGCGCTGTTCCTGAGCCGACGCCATCTTTGTTAGATGGATCTCCCGCTGTCTAGACACAAACATTTGGGTGACCGCTCATTCTCGGTGGTGGCTCCTTCACTCTGGAACAAACATCCTGACGACCTGCACCTGAAGACTGACATGTCCACTTTTAAGTCAAAGCTTAGAACACAGCTTTTTCAGCAGGCAGTTAGTTTTTAGGTACCCATCTGCTCTTTTACTCTTCACTTTTAGCTTTTATCTTTTGGGAATTTTTACTTGTTTAGCCTCTTAAAGCAGCTTTCTGGAGTTTTCCTCTTTCAGAAATGTTTGATTTTTCAGAAATCCGTAAAAGTGATTATCTCATCATGTACTATGATAAAATGCAAGCAATACGTCTCTTTTTTATTTTATTTTTTTGCTAAGCACGCCCCCCCTGCCCTGCAGAGCTCCGTGCAATAGGAAACTGAGGGCCTACCAGAACTAGCCAACAGCGTTAGACTACCGCTTACTTGCTTCAAATTTAAGGAATACCTCACCTGATGCAGAGTTGATGAATTTTTCACGGACTAGAAAGTCTCTAAAATATTAATACATGAAAACACAACATGACATGAGAATAATACTCGTAAAACAACGTGTTTTAGCTGTTTGTCGGCTACAGAAGCACATTTATAAACAGAAACGTTAGGTCGCCATCTTAAACAAACAAAGCAACAGACTTTTTGTGTGATATGCTTGTCAGCCACTAGATGGTGCCATCGGATAAGAGAAATACTCAGAAAAGAAGCTTTAACTCATTCACTGTCAATGACGACTAAAATTGTCATTAGCATTTTTTTTTACTGTGTGGGCGTCGGACAAGCCTCCGCATCATGAGAACAAACATCTCAGCTCTGAAGCCGATCTTCATCCGCATACGTCACATGATCAGGAAGCAGAACATCCATGTGTTAGGAGATCATTTTGGACTGCTGCTGTAAAAAAAATTAGGCACAAACCAGAAAAGCTTCTGCCGATCACAATTCAACAACGGATTATGAAAGAACGGATAACGCTCGAAATAGCAGATTCTTCCTGATGTAAGAGGTGAGTCTACTCTTTGTTTTGTTAGTTTTGGCGCTGACATCATCATAGTGTGCAACGTTCCGTGACTCTTTAAAAAACAGTGAAAATGCTGATAAATGCTGGCAGTGAATGAGTGAATCAGTTTTTATTTTTGAGGTTTTAAGTTCTATCTTTTATTGTAATCTCTCTTTGTTTGTACTCTGGCCTTATTTTATTACGTAAAGCACTTTGGTCACCTTCTATGTTTGTGGAAAGCACTATAATCATCTATATTCTATGATCTTTGTAGTTTTTCTATGTTGTGGCTTTGGTGCTAAGCCCGCCCAACGTCAATCTACAAACAGAGCGCTGTGATTGGCCCGACCAAAATGGCAGACCTGCCCAGGCCACAGTGGAGCGCGGCTAGACCGATTTGCCGAGCTAAATCCTTTTGCTGCTGCAGCAGTTGGTCTAGATTTCCAGGCGAATGGCATCGTGTATTTTAGAAGTGGTTGTATATGTGGCAAGGAGGAGAAACGAAGGCTCCGGCGGGATTCGATCTCCAGACTCCCGGGTGAGAGTCATACGCACTAACCAGTCATCCGCTTGGCCAAGTAGCCAGGGCGCATGATCAATCGGGACACTGTGACAGGACGCTCACTCCGTCACATCTTCCCCCCTCTTTACACAAGCATGTCCTCGTGCTCCCGCGCAGGGTGCCACACATTTCACATCCGTGGACCTACTTGGCAGTACTACATGGATCCTGTTCAGGGAAACCCCATTGGATTTCTGGGCACATCATCAATCGGGACACTGTGACAGGACGCTCACACTGTCCTGCTAGAACAGTGGTTTCCAATTGGTGGCCTGCGAGCCTCCTCTTTCTGGCCCACGGACCGATGTGCATAAATCGGTGCTGCTGTTCAGAGTCTCATTGAGCTGCTTCACAACGCTGAAAACACTCAAAGTTGTTTTAAATGTGAAACTGAAGCTTTTCAGTTGTTCCTGCTCATTTGTTGAGATCACTCTTACTGATGCCCCTTTGACACGAGGTCTTAGTGGAAAGGGACCATGCTGCTGTTAACATACGAGGTCGTCTTTACTAGATCGTAGAAACACTTTTCTTTTAATAGATCTGTGGCTTAGGACAGGTATGAGGCTGCTTTTATTATTTCCATGTGAGCAGATTGTAATAAAGCCTCCACTATTCTAATAATACTGTAATTTTACACCATACAGAACATGTGTAATAAATGACTTGGGTAGTTTTTTCTCTGTGAACTGCTGTCGGTTCTGTTTGATGGTGACGTGTTTTGGATTCTGTAAAGTCAGTGGAAGAGGTCTTTTAGAGCAACACGAGTCCTGATTTCAGGCAGTGCAGACCAAATGAACAGCTCTTAGGTATCATTCTGGGAGAGAGGGGTGGCTTTTTATCGTTGTCATGGTTTCCAGGTGATTCACAGCATAACAAAAAACCTTTTTGCAAGAAACACACAAACACACAAGCACACATGCAAGAATGCACACACACACACACACACACACACACACACACACACACACACACACACACACACACACACACACACACACACACACGCACACACACACACTCATTAGATATATCAGACCACTATCAGCAGGCTGGAGTTAACCTCACAGCAGTTAAAAACTTTTATAAAAGCATCTTTTTGCAACAGAAATGCCTCACACACACACACACACACACACACACACACACACACACACACACACACACACACACACACACACACACACACCACGTCTGCTCTTGCCTCTCAAACCCCCACCCACCCAACTCCAACATCCCCCCTCCCCCCAACAGGCAGACAGGCTGGGATGAATTCTTGACGTCCCTTTGTGTTAATTACAATGACTGCTGCTGGAAGTGTGTAATTATCACACCTCAGCAAGAAGGGCCGTGTTTTAGCCACTCAGAGGAAAATAGCTGCAGCAGACCTTTAGCCAGCCAGAGCTGATTTGATGAAATAAATCAGGTTCCTTTGCATTTTGCTGATCTCTGTCCATCTGTGAGACATCATGCACGCTCAGAAACCTTCCTCACGCTGAACGCAGCACATGACAAGAGAAAAGGCACATCCCAGCAGGGCAGCAACAATAAATCTGTTTGATTTTCTAAGTGAAAAAAAAAATTCTGGAAGCAAATACAACCACCAGGGTCCTATTAGTGAGGGTATAAGAGAAAGAGAGATCATCTAATGAGTTTTCTTTGTTTTTCACATATTCTTCTCTATCCTGCTGTCACGCATAACTGGTTTAGGGAGAGACTGGCAGTCACAAACTCCCTTCTCCCTAATAATCAACAGAAAGAGAGACAAACTGCCTGAAACGGTCCAAGCATCTCTCGCCCGCCCACCAACCCAGCATGGGTCCAAACACACACGGGCTGCTCATCGCATCTGTTCACAAGACAGCCTCACCAAAGAAGAGAGAGAAAAACATGGTCTGTGCATACTGCCTCCCTGTCAGCTGCCTTTCTCCAATCACCTCCGTGATCAAACACAGATGATGAGACTGGGTAATCTGGCTCTGATGGATTTCGTCTCCACCTGTCTGATTCCACAGGTGGATCTCAACAGGAACCTTCAGACCAAAGCAGCAGAGGCTGGTCTCAGAATCAAAAACATAAATCTGTTTCTCAGTAAATCAGCCTGTCTCAGATGATGAAACTTTTAGGGTTTCTGATCCAGGAGGACATGTTTCCTCTTGAGGATCCTCCTGGTCATATAAAGGTGGAACTGGAAGACAATCCAGGTCTCTAAAGTTTTCTGAGCGCGCGGATTTAAATCTAAAAGCGTGTGGAGACGGAACAGCCTTAAGAACAAGTCAAGATGTCGTTACTCACGGGTGCCATCAAAGCGGGTGGCGATGGTGTCCAGGAAGGTGTTCTGAGGGGCCAGCAGCCCTCTCATCACCGGCATCCTGCTCCGGGTCGACTGGCTCCTCCTATCCCTGCGCCCCGGGGCGGCGCTGGTCTCCTGCTCAGACCCGAAACTCGGCAGGAAGCGAGAGGTGCCCGGTGCGCATCCCAGCCCCTGGAGAAGCGCACCGATCCGAGATACGCGCGGTGACTCCACCTTGGCACCACGGGGCTTGTGACCATAATCGAGTCAGCAGGGAGCGAGCAGTAACCCGAGATGCACCTGTGAACCTTTCAAGCTCGGCTAGAAGTATCTAATTGTGAAGCTCACGCGTGCGCGCGCGTTGGAGAGAGATCGGGGATGGGTGGGAGGACTGCAAGTTTTGGTACTGATGGGGCGTGGAGTGAATCTTATAGCAGCAGGCTCCTCCTAGGCTCTCCCTCTCTTCCTCCCTCCCTCTCCATCTCTTGTTGCGTGGTTATCTTGCCACAACCGAGTCACGTGACGCCTTTCAGGATCCGCCAGGCTGTGGTCTTGTTTCAACAATGATACGGAGAAAACCGCTGGGAAATCCAATTAGAGCCATTTAAAGAGGAAATGCAAACCCACTGGGGGTTGTAGAAATAAGAGATCCAACTAAAAGAGAGGCTTGACTGAAAACAGGTTTCCAGTTGAAAACAGTTGTTATACGAAGTGATTTTATTACAATCTTTTGACTGTGATGATCAAGGTCTGGTCTCTCCAGCGCCAGCGGATGGACGCAGGCGCTGGAGAGGCCCGCTGAACAGGGCTTATGCGCCATCTTCTGGTCGTTAGCGCCATTTTTGTCATAAACATTACTTTTGGGATTGTGAGGTGATGAAAACCGAGTTCTATGAGATTTATGAGAAAGTACACAAAATAGAAGAGAAGAATGGTTTGAGTTTATTTTAAAAAGATCTGACAGTGTCACGCTGCGAGCGCAGGAGGATTGGACCCAAAATGCAGAACACCATGCACAACTCAAAGCTGGAGAGGTCGTTTAAAATTAAAATCATTTTATTAGGAAAACCAAGACTGTAGGACTCCAAGCAAAGAATAACTAAAGTTCTATAGACAAAAAAAAAAAAGCTCTCTCATGAGCCATAAATCTGTAGAGGACAAAGCAACGGTGACATAAGACAATGAACCGACAAACACTGGAGACACAGACAGAGTTAAATACACAGGCCTGGGGTGATAGGAGACGAGGAGCAGGTGCGTGGGGAATACAGCCCTAACTGGGGAAGGGAACACACACACACACACACACACACACACACACACACACACACACACACACACACACACTAAAGGAGACTAAGGTACTGAAATAATAAACCTATAGAAACTACAGTGGGGAGACTAAGAGAACATGAGCAAAACCTGGAGGGAGCTGGGGACAAAAAGAGCTGGGGGCTACAACGACACAGAACGTGAGGGGACACCTGGAAGGGGCTAGGGACCAAAGGGACACAGAACACGACAGGCGGGTATTGTTGGGGCCAGCGGGGAGCTGGCTCCCTGGAGGGCTTAGGCTCCCAGCCATTCCTCCCCATCCCCAGACACTTTCCTCCTACTGCTCCCTCACATCATCACACAAACACAAAGTCAGGGGATGTGGGTATGGATCCCATTTCCACAGTCCTGTGGCAGACTGCCCCGTAGTTTTACTTGCACATTAAACATTTCCACCAACATTCCACGCAATCACACGCTTAGGTGCTTGGGAGTGGGCACACTCAACAGCATTCGGCAGGGGGATCATTCAGCCTCACCCTGAGTGCCGATGCCCACTTCCAATTTTGAACTGCTTAGACAAGGCTTCCTGGGGCTAGAGGCTAGGAGTGGGAGCTGGCCGTCTGGTTGGGGTCTGGGGTGGTGGGTTGCTTCACCCCAGCAGAACAGGGCTAAATCTGGTCCTGGGATGGTTGTGCAGAAACCTCTGTGCAGCAGTACCAGGGCCATTGTGAATACGGTGTGAATGGGGAGCGCAAGTGGGTGTCTAGCATTCATGTCTGTAAATCTCCGGTTGTGTGTGTGTGTGTGTGTGTGTGTGTGTGTGTGTGTGTGTGTGTGTGTGTGTGTGTGTGTGTGTGTGTGTGTGTGTGTGTGTGTGTGTGTGTGTGTGTGTGTGTGTGTGTGTGTGTGTGTGTGTGAGAGAGAGCATGAGGGAGGGAGTGTGTGACTGTGTGTGTGTGTAAGGCTGTATATGTCAGGTGGGGTCTTGGACTCCTCCCCTCTGCTGGGATGTCTTGTGTTCTACACATCTTCGCCTGCCCTCCTCCTGCCACATTTGCTGCTGCGTATGGTGCCTCGGTCTGCCCGAGTGTTCGCGGCTCCCTGGGTCAGGGGGTTTAAGATTTTTGGCATCTGTCTGATTGATCCTGGTGGCTGCCTGTTGTGATCTGCATCCCCGGGCTCTGTTAGGTCTCCGGCGGGGGTGATCGCCCCTGGGTCCCAGGGTGCTGGGTCCCGGGCCTGGCAGGCTTTGGGTGGGAGACTGCGGGCAAGCCTGTGGGCTTGCCACCTTTATCTCCCGGGACTCTGCGAGCTGCTGGTTGTGGCCCCCCGGGGGGATCCTCTGTACCTCTCGAGGGGGGCGGGGGCCTTTCTGGTTGCAGTCTCCTTGGGGTTCCTGTGTTCTGGGGCAGCGCCTGGATCTCTGGGACTTGGAGCTCCCCCCGTCTCCTACACATCTTTGGGGGGCAGGTCTGTGGCCCCTCACTCTCTCTATTGGACGCTTTTATAGAGAAACCTTACATAAACACAGGTGCTCACATGGTGCTCTCATAAGTATGGGCTTGGGCACGTTCAACACATGTCTTAAGGCTGTGGTTGGCACTAAATGCTCTGTGATTTATTATTGTGTGGTTGTTCAGTTAAACAATGTTGATTTAATATTTCCTAGTTAGGATGACACAGTGATAGCTTGCTCCTGTTGTGTGTTGTTTTTCTGTTTCTGCAGGTCTAGAAGCAGACTCGTGTTACTCTTTTATTGATTATTATTGTGGGACCCCCACCCCCACCCCTTCCTTTTGTCTCCTCCTTTCTCTTTCACTTCTGTCTCTGTGTCTGGTCGGAATTATAAAGAAACCAAAAACACTGACAATAAAGTTTTAAGTATCAGGCGTGACATTAAAGCAGAAGCTTTGATGCTCCACCTGAGAGTAAACTTGTAAGGCATGTCACCAGTATTCAGACATCAATTCTGTTGGTTTCACAGCCAAACAGGACACAGAGAAAAAATCTGGCATTTTCTGGCTTATAGAGAAGCTCAGATAGCTGCACCTTCTACCTGGACAGCAGCATCTAGTCTACCTGAACAGCCGCATCTATTTTACCTGGACAGCAATGTCTAGTCTATCTGGACAGAAGCATCTAGTTTACCTGGACAGCAGCATCTAGTCTACCTGAACAGCAGCATCTAGTCTACCTGGACAGCAATGTCTAATCTACCTGGACAGCAATGTCTAGTCTACCTGGACAACAGTATCTATTCTACCTGGACAGCAGCGTCTAGTCTACCTGGACAACAGTATCTATTCTACCTGGACAGCAGCGTCTAGTCTACCTGGGAAGCAGCATCTAGTTTACCTGGACAACAGCGTCTAGTCTACCTGGACAGCAGCGTCTAGTTTACCTGAACAGCAGCATCTAGTCTACCTGGACAGCAATGTCTAGTCTACCTGGACAACAGTATTCTACCTGGACAGCAGCGTCTAGTCTACCTGGACAACGGTATCTATTCTACCTGGACAGCAGCGTCTAGTCTACTTGGACAGCAGCATCTAGACTACCTGGATAGCAACGTCTAGTTTACCTGGACAGCAATGTCTAATCCACCTGGATGGCAATGTCCAGCCTACCTGGACAGCAGCATCTAGTCTACCTGGACAGCAGCATCTAGTCTACCTGGACAGCAGCATCTAGTCTGCCTGGACAGCAGCGTCTAGTCTACCTGGACAGCAGCATCTAGTCTGCCTGGACAGCAGCATCTAGTCTACCTGGACAGCAGCATCTAGTCTACCTGGACAGCAGCATCTAGTCTGCCTGGACAGCAGCGTCTAGTCTACCTGGACCGCAGTGTCTGGTTTACCTGGACAGCGGCATCTAGACTACCTGGACCGCAGTGTCTGGTTTACCTGGACAGCGGCATCTAGACTACCTGGACAGCAAAGTCTAGTCTAACTGGACAGCAGCGTCTAGTCACTCCTGAGCCTTCCTGGTAAGGTCTATTCAGGGGTTCTGGAGAGGAGGTTTGTCGGATTGCTGAACCTCAGATTCAGGAGGAGCAATGTGAATTTCGTCCTGGCTGTGGAACACTGGACCAGCTCTATACCCTTAGGGGGATCCTGGAGGGTGCGTGGGAATTTGCCCAACCAGTCTACATGTGTTTTGTGGATTTGGAGAAGGCGTTTGACCGCGTCCCTCGGGGGACCCTGTGGGGGGTACTCCGGAAGTATGGGGTACCAGGCCCTCTGATACGGGCTGTTAGGTCCCTGTATGACCGGTGTCAGAGCTTGGTCCGCATTGCCGGCAGTAAGTCGAGCTCATTTCTGGTGAGGGACTCCACCAAGGCTGCCCTTTGTCACCAATTCTGTTCATAACCTTTATGGACAGGATTTCTAGGCACAGCCAAGGTGTGGAGGGCATCTGTTTTGGTGGCCTGAGGATCAGGTCTTTGCTTTTTGCAGATGATGTGGTCCTGTTGGCTTCATCAGAACGTGATCTTCAGCTTTCGCTGGAGCGGTTCGCAGCCGAGTGTGAAGCAGCTGGGATGAGAATCGGCTCCTCTAAATCTGAGACCATGGTCTTGATTCGGAAAAGGGTAGAATGCCTTCTCGTGTCAGGGATGAGGTCCTGCCCCAAGTGGAGGAAATTAAGTATCTCGGGGTCTTGTTCACGAGTGAGGGAAAACTGCAGCGTGAGATCGATAGGCGGATTGGTGCTGCATCTGCAGTGATGCAGGCGTTGTACCGGTCTGTCGTGGTGAAGAGAGAGCTGAGTCAGAAGGCGAAGCTCTCGATTTACCGGTCAATCTACGTTCCTACCAACATCTATGGTCACGAGCTTTGGGTAGTAACCGAAAGAACGAGATCACGGATACAAGCGGCCGAAATAAGTTTTCTCCGAAGAGTGGCTGGGCTCTCCCTTAGAGATAGGGTGAGAAGCTCGGTCATTCGGGAGGGGCTCGGAGTAGACCCGCTGCTCCTCCACATCGAGAGGAGCCAGTTGAGGTGGCTCAGGCATCTGGTTAGGATGCCTCCTGTATCTGTGTGTAATGTAATTTTGTCCGTCTTTACCAGGTGATTTGTGTGTGTGGGAGCTGAGGTTACATGGAAATGTAAACACAAGTTACAAATCAAGAGTTACACACACACACACACACAAATCTTGAGTTACACACACACACACACACACACACACACACACACACACACACACACACACAAATCTAGACACACACACACACACACACACACACACACACAAATCTAGTTACACACACACACACAAATCTAGACACACACACACACACACACACACACACACACACACACACACACACACACACACAAATCTAGTTACACACACACACATAAATCTAGTTACACACACACAAATCTAGATACACATGCACAAATCTAGACGCACACGCACACACATACACACACACACACACACACACACACACACACACACACAAATCTAGTTACACACACACACATAAATCTAGTTACACACACACACAAATCTAGATACACATGCACAAATCTAGACGCACACGCACACGCACACGCACACACACACACACACACACACACACACACACACAAATCTAGTTACACACACACACACACATAAATCTAGTTACACACACACAAATCTAGTTACACACACACATAAATCTAGTTACACACACACACACACAAATCTAGACACACATACACACACACACACACACACACACACAAATCTAGTTACACACAACATAAATCTAGTTACACACACACACACACAAATCTAGACACACACACACACACACACACACACACACACACACACACATACATGTAGATATGGTTTATGAAGCCACTATGACATTTTGGTGGTTTATGAGGACACACCTTTCCCTGCATCTGGTGAACACGAAAAGTATGTCAAAAATTTTGATTTTACCCATAGAAGAAAAGTCTCACTTCAAAATTAAGAAAAACATATCAGAACATACATACATTTCACATATGAATTTACACAGGCTTATGAGGACTTGACAACCTGGTGGTTTATGGAGACAATTAGGGTTTATGAGGTCTGTTTACAAAAATATACAATTCTGACTGTTTCATGGTTTAAGGAGACATTTAAACATTATGAGACCAGTATACACATTTATATATAACATTCAAAATATCAAGGAATCAAAGAGGAAATAGAGGTTTTTTGGGGGAGTCAAGGCCTCAGAAGTACCATTGGTTAATCGAGCACTTAGGCCTGTGACCATTTAACTTGGAGAGAGATGGGCATATTCCAGGATAAACTTCAGAAATCTTTATTCAGAAGAGTGCATAGATAAAGCTAACATTTCTACTAATGTTTCTGTTCAGAAACCGCAACCTACTGCTACCTAAAACTCAGTTTTTGTTTGTCTTAGTTGACCTATGTCCTGTCGGTGGTACATCACATGTAGGGGTGTCTTTCCACAATAGTATTTCCAGCACCTGCTCCTCTGTTTGCCCATGTCTGTGACATTCACTGAGCATGTCATCTGTAGAGGTCTTATCCTTGATGGTACTTAAAGACCTTGGCTGTTTTATCTTGGATCATAGGTCTCACACTAGCTAGTCCTCTGACTCCTTCCTTACTGCTAGCATACCGTTTCAGGGTGCTGGATTTGGGGTGTAATGGTCCATGCATGGTTAGGAGCTTTTGTGTCTTAACATCTGTGGTCTGTATTTTTTCCTTTTGGCCAGCTCATTATTCCTGACAGATATCTGATTACTAGCAGGGCATAGCTGTTTATTTCCCAAATCTTGTTCTTGCCCTTGAGCTGATTTCTTAGTGCTCTCCTTATTTGTTTTAAGTATTTGGTTGTGGCTTATTTCCTTGCAGCCTCATCGAGGTTGCCATTTGCTTGCTGGACACCAAGGAATTTGTAGCTGTCCTCAAGGTCTGACTTTTTTCCTTCTGGGAGTGAGACCCCTCCTGTATCTATTATCTTCTCTTACTTTGTCAACATTCGACCACACTTCTCAAGTCCAGATGACATTCCAATATCAATGCTGTAGATCCTGGTGGTTTGGATCAGTGAGTCAATGTCTCGCTCGGTCTTGATATACAGTTTTATGTCATCTAGGTAGAGGAGGTGGCTAATTGTGGTTCAATTTTTGAGTGAGTATCTCAGATTTATTTATGGGACAATAACTTTATTTAAAGGATATCAGGATTGGATAGGATAGCTTGTTGATGGCTTGTTGTGTAAAAAAGGCAGCTAGGGGCTCACAGAGTGTACAAACCTTGTCAAGTTAACACTCAACACAGCTACAAGGACTAAACAAGAAAGTCATACTGACATATTATGACCTTTTCTTGTAGAAGTTATTTAAAACATGAATGCATGCAAGGGGCCCTAAAGCAAAATTAAGACTTTAATTACCAACAATTTGCAAACATTTCTTTGAGAGACTGTAACATCTGTTGTGTTTAATTTGGTGAAAATCAGTGTGTATGATGAAATTACAGCCAATTGTAAGGCCACGGCTTGCCATCCAATTTTGCCGTCTCACCACAACCCCATTCTCTCTTGAAATATCTCAGTACTGAATGCTGCATTACACCAGCATGTCTTCTGACATTGGGCAGTGTCTCATGTTGATTCTATACAAAGGGTCAAAGTTGGACCTTTTAGAGTAAAACAATAAACTTCCTGTTGTCAGGGGTAGTGGCTTTGGTGATGGCAGGAAATGACACTGTCATTGTCTTGAGATTTGACATGACACTAAGTTGGATATAGCTCTGATCATGTGTCTGCAAGTTAATAAACCAAGAACTTTAATGTAAAAAGATCAATATTTGAGACTAAGCCCGAACTACACCATTAGTCCTTTTGAAAACTATTTAGACAACTTTTGATTCCCAATGGCTTATCAATTTTAGGTCATAGGCCTAAAGCCCTAGGACAAGTTAGTTAAAATATAATATGTGATAAAATGACAAAATGGTATGAGGCCAGAACAGTCTCAATAAGAATTAAGTCACACAACGTTTTCCACAAATGCACACGCTAATTCTGAAGTTCACACTCTGTGGTTCACAAATATAATTTGTAAGAACACTTGTAATATAAACTCACAGATCATACGAATTGCTGAATGCGCATTTACGAACAGCTTCTCATTTGTGAACCTTTCTGCGTTTGTGAGTGAAATTTGTGTGGTGCATTCACGAACAGCTTCTCATTTGTGAACCTTCCTGCATTCGTGAGAGAAATCGGTGTGCTGAATTTTGAGACTCTCCTAACGTCGCAGATCAACAAACGTCACCATTGGCTAATGAATCTGTCAATCAAATATATGATTTTGCCAGAGCTGTTCGCTTTCAGCCAATCATATGGCTCCTTATATTACGGAACAGATCTGCTGTGCGCATAGAAGTAGGTGCTGATGGCTGAAGATATCACGTTAGCGTTCACACTTGTTTAATTTTCCCTTTTAATTCTGGTGCCTGTTAGCAGCTGAAACACATCCTCACGTGCTTGTGGATATCATATATTGTATATGGAGACATGACTGTAATAATAAGTAAAGGTTATCAGCTGTAGGTTTAGTGTGCTCATAGGAGACGTGACAAAAGAACACAAATCACATTTCTCTTTATGGCCTATATAGTTGTCATCATCAACATTACATGATTTACAGAATACATGTGACCAACTAACATTTCATGTTCTACCACCGGATGTTTGGATCAAAATATGAACCAATCAGATCTTAGATCAGGTGAGAGCCAGGCGTTTCCCGTCATGCCCTGGGTTTTGCAGTCGAGGGAGAGCAACTGCAGCGCCTTGCTCCAAAATCTGCGGCCACCTTGATCTCACAAGGTTATCGTTGCCTACGATAGAGATAGAGCAAGTCGGCGTCAAGTCGGACACAAATCTAACCGGCAAGCACTGCTCGCCGATCACCGCTGATCCAATCTGCGCAGTTAAGGGGATGGAATTAATCCAATAGGCGATTGCTCAGAGGGCTACACTATACTCATAGAATCTGGGGTTACAATACATAACCAACGTTCCACCCTATGGGTGGCCTCTTAATAATCTTATTCAGAAAAATTATGCATTTTTACTATGTGAAAGCAAACCCCGTTAGGGGCAGAGACCTCTTGAAGCTCATATTAAACATTGTCTGCAGAGAAGGTAAGAGAAGCTAGTAAATCATCAGACCTATTCCATGGGAGTGACTCTGAAAAGGAGCAAAAGCTCAGCTCTTTATCTTGGCAGGTGTCTCTATTCTCCTGTGTTCAGGCTCTTGGTTACATCAGTTACTTTTCCTTTTAATGAGCTGCATATATTTCTAACACAGCCTTCAGTGACATCAAGAAAAAAAATAACTTTTTAACTCTAAAAGACATTATTCTCATTCTGAGAACAAATGAACAAACTGTGTGTGAGTATGTGTGTCCAGTTGCAATTTAACACAGACTCAGTAGCATAGAGAATCTTCTCACAACACCTAATCATCCCTTGATCAAAAAAACTGTAGATAGAATCTTGTCATGTTATTCTATTTAATAAGTAGACGGACGGAGGTATAGTACGAGTTTTCAAGTGTAATGAAGATGATCGCAGGGTAACACAGTTCCCCTTAAATGTTGAGCAAAAGTTATGAAACGAGACAAAATTCAAACAATAACATGTAAAAAGAAATGGATCTCCTGATAAGAAGTAGGTGCTTCACCTTTAAATATGTTTTTATTAGAGCTGGATACACAGGAAGATGTATGTTACTAAACCAACACTAGCAATGATAGAACATCTACATTTTGAAGAATTGTAGCATAGATTAAGTGGACAGCAGCCTTTTCAAATACATTCCTGGTCTAAAATAAATCAGGCTGACACAGCCTTTAAGGAAATACACAACTATAAATGAATTTAGAAATCTATTTGGGGGTCTATCCTTTAGCATTTCATATTTACGACGGCAAATCCCTTGAATAACAATATACAGTATATTAACCTTAAAATGGACCACTCCTTCACTTTTTAACTTTCTTCCTTCCTGTCTCATTAATTGTTTTCTTTCTTCCTAACTCCCTACCTTCTCTCTCCTTCCTTCTTCACACATGTAATCATCTAGCCTCAAGTAAGTTCTCAACATACTGGACAGTGTGAAGATATATGTCCACTCCAAAAGAGTCTAAATGTTGCAACGGATTAATGCTGTCCTGCAGTTCCAACATTTCATGATCTGAAAGAGGACTGTCCAGTACAGGGACATTGATCCCAGGATGAGGTTCAGTCATGTATCCATTTTCCTCCCATTCAATCTCTGGTATCGGTATACTCTGGAAAAAGAAAGTGTGTATGAGCATTGTGCATAATGAATCTCAAGAAAACACATTTAATAAAGCTTTATCATGACCTTTTAACAATTACTTAACATCAATGATGTCAGGCAGAACCTAGCATCTTCATTATTTCATAAATTATTATTATTTTTTAATTAATGGGCAAATTTTATGTTAAAACAGCAGTGAGAATATCACATCTGGAAGGTCTAATGCCTTGCATTTTGAACTTGCAGATGTGTCATGACTTTGTAATGTCATGACATTATAGTTGACAGTGTCCATTTCAGTAGAGGTGCACACAAACAGAACTGTAATTTCAATAGCCATTTCATCTTGAATCCAAGAAGCATAGTGCAGAGGTAGATTATCAAAGTGTTGAACATTTGATTTTTAGTTAAGGATCAACTTGACATGTGATCAGTCATTTTAACAGAACATACATTTGCCCCTGGATCAGAAACAGGATTCAGAGCCTGGCCCAGATGCCACAGCTGATTTGGTGTCATGTTTTCCTCTGTCCTGATTGGATGGTTGTCCCATGCATCTCTAAAGACATACAGGCTGGCCTGGATGCGAGACAAGAAAATATAGTGGCAACAAAACAGGTGAAGGATGTTACTGATGTCGAGCAAGTCTTGGTCTTCCAGAGAGTGCAGGATGTTCTAATATAAACCAGTAACACTCATGAAGACATCACGTCAGAGGCGCTCAATTCTGGATTTGGAGGGGGATTAAATAAAAGAAAATTAAAATATACACACACATTTACATGTCCATTCATCCATTTTCAACTTGAGTTATCTTTTGAATGGTCACAGGGGGACTGGTGCCTATCTCCAGCAGTCAAAGTGTGAGACGAAGGGTACACCCTGGGCAGGTCAACAGGCACAGGCACGCGCGCACACACACACAAAGCTTCCAAATTAGGTTAAACTCACCGCTGATTGTGTACACTTTTTCCTGCAATGAAGCTGTTGGTGTCAGTTCCACGAACTGAGAACATTAATTCTGCATCACCTGCATTTTCTCTGCCATGATCTCCTCTCACCCTGAAACAAACAAACATTAGAATCTTGCTTCAAACATTTTTAATGCACATCTATAACAATCTACATCAATTTAAGTTTTACAGAAATTTCCTCATGTACCTTGCTACTAAGTGAGTAAACATTGTGGCATTATTAACCCTCTGCTGGGGAATTTTTTTTTTTTGAAAGAGGGAAATGTTCATTCCCCCCCCCCCCCCCCCCCATAAATTTCACTTTATGACCTCAAATGGCATGTTATCTTTGGTCAATAACACACTTTAGGCAAAAGCAGATTTGTAACAGGGTAACAGAGGGTAAAGTTGGGAATAACATGAATACCTCAGAGGAAAGCCATGCTCATTCACAGCTTCACTGAAGAGGCAAGGTGGGTGTCTGCCCGGTTGTTGTCAGCTACCTTCAGGTACATGATCTATGTAATTCAAGCACAAACACTCTCATATGACACACTTTTATAGGGGCCAAAACAATCAATTACCAAATTAAAGGTACAACAGCCATACAATAACATGTTAGATAATTAAATAAGTTAAGATCTGATAAACTGTATTGTTTGTGTCAAATCTCACAGGAGTGATGGATGCAGTTTACAGAAGACCACTGCACTATACTGTTTTCATCCCTCTCCCGCCATCTTCTTTTGAATTTCTGACCACCCGCAATGTGGTTTACTTCCACATTCTCCAGTGACACTCAGAACTATTACCCACAATATAATTAAGATGCACTGATTTTGTGTATTCACTCATCGTGCAGGAGAAAACATGGCATGACAGACTATTATTGGATTCATGGGATTGTGTATCATATTCCTCCATTTAAAAATCAATATGGAGGAGTAAAGGCTAATGATTATTACAAGCCCTTACATTAACTGACTTTACAAATATGCAAAAAATAATAATGTGTATATTTTGGGATTTCTGAAAATCCCTTTGGTTTTTAGCCAACTGTTCAAACTGCTCGCTCCTGCTGGGACCCATTCCTATGCAGCCCTTTACTTCAAAATATAAGTTGTTAAAGGTATAAAACATATCTATAAAACAGAAGATAGCCAGAAAACACATTTGCAGCTGTTTGGTCCTTGACAATGAAAACACCTACCTTCCTTGAATAGCCGTCTATTCCCCCAAAGATAATAAAATTGTACCTGTTAAAACACAGACAATTAAAAATGCAACTCCCAAAACAAAAAATAACATCTCCAATTACACACAGACATTACCTGATGTCAATGTGCACCATATACTTTGGGCAAGGAACTGTGTACGTCCTTCTCACTACACATCCCAGACATGTCATTCGAGCAAGTACACCCGCACTGTCCACACGATGCATACAGTCGGTCCCACTGTACTCTATGTCCCTGGGGAAGTAAAGCACCTCGGACTACCCTGTACCCAGCATCTGGCATGTTGCTCTTAATTACTGTGATAAATGAATCTAGTTCCTCATAACTGCATTTACTGTATGTGGCAGATACAGGTATAATATTTTCAGACATCCGTCTAAATAGAGTTACTCTGGATACACCAAGGAGTTTGGTAATGACACTTGTTGGCAGACCCATTTCCACAAGGTGTTCGAGAGCCTCTCGCGACACCGCCAGTCGTGGGCGGCCACGAGAACCTCTTTCAACGTGTACCGTTATTAATGCCTTTTGATTATCTCTTTCCTGCTGGATAATAGTATTCAGATCTGAAAGAGCAGAAAGTATATCCTCTCCTACATCAACAATGTCACCTAGAGCACCTAATAAAACTAAATAATGGTGACAAGCAAACTGTAGCCCTTCCCCATCAACAGGTTGCCTCTCCAAGATGCTTGACAGTCGATCGTACAACCTTTGAAGGATGTCAAGCCTCAATGATTCCTAGAGGAAAAAAAAAAAACTGAACAAACATGAATTGGATAACTGTTGGGTAATAGAAATAAAATAACAACTTCCAAATATCTTATGGCACTTTTATTTTTTTAACACTCCAGCTATGCTAGTTTTAATAAAAAAACATTTTTAAATAAGACCAACTGTAGATTCAAAGGTACATGAAATGATGAAGCAGTATTTCTGTTTATTATGTGCCAGAGCTCATTGGCCAAAATTTAAAGATGTATTTTATTTAAAAAAAAATAATATTTCTTTAACTATTGCCCACCGCCAGAAAATCAAACATTTATGCACTGGCTCAGCCAGTGTCTGTCTCCTTATTACTGCACGCACAGCCTAAAGCAGGGGTGTCAAACTCAAATTCACAATAGGACCAAATTAAAAACTGGGACAAAATTGCGGCCCAAACTCAATATTTATTGAAAAGTTTATTTACAGATGTCTTGTTATTCAATTGGAAAGAAACTTATTTTTGCATCTGAACACAGAATCTGATATGACCAAATTACACACGTGTTTTAAATAAAACACATCACTCGTTACTTATGTCTCAATTTTTATATACTCTTTTTACTCCTTACAATGTGTACATATTCAGTATTTAGATTGTTTTACCTTTTGGATATTTTAAGTTTGTCTGTTTTATGTTTTCTTTTAGTTTACTCTTTATTATTATGTTTTACTCTCCTGTTTGGCTCCTGTAATGAACGTTATTGCTGCTGTGACACCACAGTTTCCCTACTGAGGGACAATAAAGGGATTTTCTATTCTATTCTTCAATTTGTAGTCTGTCCAGTTCCCATTTTAGAGTAAGTTTAATCTTTTTTTCACAGGCCAACAACAAAAACCAAAAATAGCAATTATCTTCTATGAAAATATCTCAGTTATTAACTTTCATGCTTTGGAGCAGAAAAAGTGCATGACAATTAAATATTTCAAGCTCAGTTCGCTCCAATCTGATGGTCACCTTTTCCAGCCAGATACCTTCTTTCTAGGCGTTCAAAGTCGGAAACTCGCTGAGTAAACTGGGCGCTTAGAGGAGTATCTTCAGTTGTTTAAGACTGAGGGCAACGCTGCACACGCTGATTCTACTAGCATGGATGCTAATGATCGTAAACATAAAAGAGGGCTTGCTTCGTCTCGCGCGCAAACGCTGCAAAGCACTGTGGGATTAGTAGTCTTATCTGCAAAATCACCCGGCGGGCCAGTTTTAATATTATATATTTGATATTTGATTTCGCGGGGCAAAAAAAAAATAGACCAAGGGCTTGAGTTTGACAACCGTGGCCTAAAAAAATGGTACCTAGACACGCTAACTAACAAATGTTCGCCTGAGTTTAGCTTGATGTTAAACTAGATGAAGAATGTACCAGACTTCACGTAACGTCTGGACTGAATTTAACATAAAACATTTTACTTGACCATGAAGAACGCTTCTACTCATAATTCTATAACATTGCATAAATTACAACGAGGGAATAAGATAAAACTGTTACTCACAGATTGTGACCGGTCCATCCCGCTCTGCCATGTGAACTGCAATACGCATGCGCACAGCAGATCTGTTCCGTAATATAAGGAGCCATATGACTGGCTGAAATCGAACAGCCCTGGCAGAATCATATATTTGATTGACAGATTCATTAGCCAATGGTGACGTTTGTTGATCTGCGACGTTAGGAGAGTCTCAAAATTCAGCACACCGATTTCTCTCACGAATGCAGGAAGGTTCACAAATGAGAAGCTGTTCGTGAATGCACCACACAGATTTCACTCACAAACGCAGGAAGGTTCACAAATGAGAAGCTGTTCGTAAATGCACATTCAGCTATTCGTATGATCTGTGAGTTTATATTACAAGTGTTCTTACAAATTATATTTGTGAACCACAGAGTGTGAACTTCAGAATTAGCGTGTGCATTTGTGGAAAATGTTGCGTGACTTATTGTTTCACATTATATTTATGTGTCAAAGAGTATGAATTTCCAAATGAGCGTGTGCATTTGTGTTCCTCCGAATTATATTTTATGAAACACAGTGTGGATTTCCGAATGAACATGTGCATTTGTGGAAAACGTTGTGTGACTTAATTCTTATTGAGACTGTTCTGGCCTCATAAAATGGCATCATCTGACCAAAATGACCAACTTCCTGCTGGTCTTGAAACATGGTTTCAGGAGACTTTTTGTAAGTCTCAAGACACATCATGAATGTACCAAATATCATAATCCTCAGTCAAAGCATGACATAGAGCTGACTGTTGTGATGGTCCTAGGGAGCACTATGTTAAAACTAAGCCATGCCTATGGAAAATTTGTATAATTATCTGTTTGGGGTTGGATTAGAGTAAATCACATTACATTTCGCACAGATGAGATGTGAATTGAAGAAATTAGAGGCAAACGTAATTCCATGGTGTGATGCCTAAATTCGCCATACTCCTTAAGCCCCACCCTCTTTTGAAACCTACCAGACACTACATATGTGTAACAAATTTCATAATCCTCAGTAAAAGCATGGTATGAGGCTGATAGTTTTAATTGCCCTAGGGGCCTGCTATTTTAAAGAAATAGGTCACACCCACTGATGTGGCAAGGGGTCAATATCTTAGGCTTAGCCATGCCTACACAGTTATACTTTTGAGTATGTTTTTCACAACTTTTGATCCTCAGTGGCTTATGAGTGAAATATGTCATTTTGAAGTCTATAGGTCAAAAACTCTACGATATGTTAGCTTTAATTAAGCATGTGCAAAAAAGAAAAGAAGAAATAGTCATGTGACTAAAATGGCAGACTTCCTGTCAGATTTGGAAAGTGGCTCCATAGACCTTTTTGTAGGCTCTGAGACACTACATAAGTGTACCAATTTTCATAATCCTCAGTAAAAGCATGACATGGGGCTTACCATTTCAATGGTCCTAGGGGGAGCTATTTGAAAAAATAGACCACACCCACAGGATGTTTGCATCCATATCTGTTTGAGGTCAGATTAGTCACATTTATGCAAAATTTCCTGCAGATAAGTTGAGGAATGAGGAAATGAGGCAAACATATTGCTACGGCGTTACGCCTGAATTCGCCATACTGCCACAGCCCCGCCCTCTTTCAACACCTGCCAGTACTGGATGCTAAGTGAGCCCAACATGTCAACTGTTATTTGGCAGTGATTCATATTGGTTAGATCAAAAGGGTATAATTGGGATCTTTCAGAGTAAACATGACCTTTTCTGTTGTGAGGGGGTGGAGCCTTGATGATGTCATCATCTGATTATTGATTGTTGTTTAGGAGTGGATGACAAACAACCACAAACATTTTCGAGACTCTGTGTCCTACGATGATGACATTATGGCAATTTATATTTTTTAGCGAGAAGTCAGTATTAGGCCAGGAGAAGTCCTGCTGCTGAGGTGCTAAGTTGTATCGGTTGTATCAGCCCTGCTATGCAGTTTTCTACCTGCAGGGGGCTCTGATATTATATACAACACAACCGATATGGTTTACGAAACCAATTTTTTAATTGGCTATAAAACACAAAAGGAAGGTTAAGTTGCAGAAATAACTAAATAAGATGATAATGGCTGTTACAAAGTTTGTAATAATATATTAACAATGTTTACTTTTTATATTTTTCAAAGATTACAACACTTTAAAAGTCACGGTTTACGAGACCATCAAAAATGGTCTCATAAACCTATTGGTTTCATAATGCTGGTGTGTAAACTGACAAATAGGTCTCACAAACCATAAGCGCACACACACACACACACACACACACACACTCACACACACAAATCTAGTTACACACAACATAAATCTATTTACACACACACACACACAAACACATCTAGATATGCATGCACAGATCTTTTGAAACTTTTTTGTCCCCATAATGATGGAGTAGAAACACACAGCTGTGATTGTTTTTGTTAGTTTTTTGGCTTGTTTAGAATCACCACACCTTAAAGACACCTGTTGGGACTGGGAGGGGTGGGAATTATGTTACTGGGATTGGGATGAGAGGGAATTTTATTTTTTCTTGTTGTCTGGGATAGGGACAAGAACATTTTTTACAATAGGAATGGATTGGGAAAGCAAAATCCATTCCTGTGTCACCCACTGTGAGTGTGTGTATTTGTAAGCGGCTCCGCCCTCTCGGTCTGCCAGGCAACAGCATTTGTTGCATTTTTTGAACAGGAAGTGGGAGGGAAGTAAGACCCTGGTAGGGGTGACTTGCTCTTTAAAGTAATTTTCTATTTCATAGAAATATAAATTCACCTTATTTTAAAAGGTAGAGAAAACACAGCTTATATCAAAATAGTGATTGTTTTGCTAATAATAATAATAATAATAATAATAATAATAAAACTCATGGCTTTCACTTTCTCCCCAGCAGGAGACGCCGTTTACCAAAATTCCGCTCCTGGTTGAATGCCCTGCTACTTCTGCAAGGTCCTCTGCGCATCCGCAGTCGCTGTAAAATAAAAATAAAAATAAAAAAATCTTTGTTATACTGATTATACTGTCTCTCAAAAAAAAATTACATCTGAACGTTGTAACACCCCCCTTATTTTTTTTACCTGGCTGAGCGCTAAAATTTAGTTCTTTAAAAGTCTGAGAACAATTATGTGTATTTAGCACACATTTACAACGTTCGCTTTGAAGCAGGACATTTTTTAACCCTTTAGGGCGGTGTATACATTTATCAGTGGTAAATCAAATCAAATCAAATCAAATCAATCAAATTAATCCCAGAGGGAAATTAGAGGGCATCTGACACATATTTAATCAGCTGAAATAATAATAAAAAAATCATCATCATCATCATCATCATCATCACCTTTATTTATAAAAGCACCTTACAGACATATATCATGTCACCAAGGTGCTGCACAAGACTAAACTAAAAAGATAAAAACAAATATAGGAACCCAATAAAAAAAATTTAAATCTGCAAAATACAAAGCATCAGTTAACACACAGATTTAAAAGCCAGATTATAATAATGGGTCTGCAGCGCCTTCCTAAAAACTCTACTGACGTGGCGAGTCGCACAGATAATGGAAGATCATTCCATAATTTTGGGCCTGCTACCGAAAAAGCCCCGTCTCCTCTTGTTTTGAGCCTAGTTGCGGGGACTAGAAGCATATGGTGACTCTCTGAGCGGAGCGAACGACTATATATGGCTGTAGCAAGTCAGATAAATATTCTGGTGCTATCCCATTCAATGCCTTAAAAACCAACAAAAGAATTTTAAAACGCACTCTAAAAACAACCGGTAACCAGTGCAGATCTGCCAGGATGGGTGTCATATGATCATATTTCCTTTTCCCTTCTAGGAATCTTGCCGCAGCGTTTTGCACAAGCTGCAGACGAGCTACTGTACTCTGTCTCACCCCAATTAAGACAGAGTTACAGTAGTCTAAACGAGAGGTGATAAACGCATGCACAACAATCTCGAGGTCCTTTCTAGTTAAAAATGACTTCACTTTGGCCAGACGTCGCAAGTGGTAAAAAGAGGACGATACAACTGCACCCACATGTGCATCAAAGGTGAAAGCGTTATCTAATGTCACTCCTAAGTTGACCGCCGAAGAACGTAGGTAGGCATTCATATCCCTACAATCTAGTTTTGATCGCTCTAAATCACGATGTAACCCAAACAGCACTGCCTCAGTTTTGCTTTCATTCAGACATAAAAAATTGTCCGTCAACCATGACTTAACTTCAGTTAGACAGTGCATTAAGGTAATAATGGGACAGTCGCTTCGATAATTCAAGGGTAAGTAAAGTTGGCAATCATCAGCATACATATGACATCAAATTCCATACTTCCTCATGATGTCCCCAGTGGCAATATGTAAATCAAAAACAATAGTGGTCCCAATATTGAACCCTGTGGGACCCCCCACTGCAGGTGTGTGAATCCAGAACTAAACCCACCCATCCTTACACTTACAGTCCCTTGCTTCAAATAAGATCTGAACCAGTCTAAGGCCAGACCAGAGATTCCGACATTATACTCCAAACGATGGAGCAACACCTCGTGGTCCACAGTGTCGAAAGCAGCTGTAAGGTCCAACAAAACAAGTAGCGCAGGATTTCCCCTATCAGTTTCCAACATAATGTCATTTAATACCTTTATCAGTGCCGTTTCCATACTATGAAAAGCTTTAAAGCCAGACTGAAAAGTTTCCTTAATGTTAGACTCTTCTAGGAAATTCATTAACTGAGACACATTTTTCCAGAATTTTACTCAGAAAAGGGAGCTTTGCAATCGGCCGGTAGTTGCAAGGCTGCATACCATCTAACCCTGATCTCTTTAACAGTGGGTTAATAACCGTCTTTTTAAAATCAATTGGGACATAGCCAGAGACCAAACTGCTATTAATAACTTTCAATATTAATGGAGCTATTCCATGAAAGACTTCCGTGGTGGTATGATGTCTTTGGGAG